TGTAAAGATATACCATTCGCAGGATAACCTGTGTTTACATTGAGGCCATTTTCCCGAGTTTCTTAGTAGAGATGAGAGGTGCACAGTTAATTCAATAAATACCGTGGATTATTGATGTAATTCCCTGATCAAATAAGCAAAAAGAATTTTTTTGTAACAAGCAAGTTTAATGGGGGAATCAGCAAGTCTAGGAGAGAGGATCATTAACTCCACTTGGGATATAAATTATTTCATGTGAGTTCCAGAACCAATATATTTAGTGTTGAAGGTAAATGTGAATTCATGTAACTACTTATCAGACATCCCATTAAGATGGGTGGATTTACATTTAGCCTTAATTGGCATTCTAAGTGGGAAGTTTTCTGTGCAATTTTTCAAGAGAGTACTTATTGTTGGAGCTGAAAGTAACCCAATTGGTTGGCAAAGGTCCTGAGTTCAAAACAAAGAAGGAAGACATTTACCAGGAGGTGTGGAGTAGGAGAAAGATGCATTAGAAACCAAGGATGTTCCAAATTGTCTGTTGAAATTACTGTACAGGAATTGCGAATGAAGTTCGGGGCATGCTCAAATTGGAAAATCCCAGACCTTGAAAGGCTATAGTGAAAAACTTTAGAGTTTGTCCCCCAAAACAGTGAATAATCTTTAAGAATGTGATAAGCAACCAAAGATTTTCTGGAGGAAATCCATGTGGAAAAGGGAAGGTTCAGTTAAGGATTTTTGCCCAATGTATCTATGACTGTGTTTTATTGTGCCTTTCCATGTAGGTATAATTCCCTAAGATAGTGTTTGTTAAATAGTCTTTGCTTTGCTTGATTCTTGAATAATAAAATTTCATTTACTTTTTTAAATATAACAGTGAAAGCTAATGGCTTCATGACTTCAGTAAATCATTGGGTACTTGAATTTCTCTTTAACTATTAATGGTTCCTACAAGATTCATAATATAAATGGTTTGGATATAGTCTCAGAGAGATTGGTGTGTACATGACATAAACATTTAAGTTTAAGCTAATTCTTTAGAAATCTTGGTGTCCCCCACCCCATTTTAGAAGACCAAAGATTCATGATGTATTACATCACCAAGGAACAACCAGAGAAGAAAGACTAAAAAGGATGAAATAATGTAGACAGCTGGACTACGATTGCAGCTGGTGAATGTCGTTCATGAACAGCTAAACCCATTTCATAAAATTTCACTTTTATCTCCTTTCATGAATTACCTCTTCTTTTCATTGAATTAATGACCGACCTTACATGTGTACTTTCCAGATATTCAAACTAGAGCAACAATATCCAGGTTACATAGGATGACCTTCTTTCAAATATTGTACCCAGTTTTATTCTATCCTTCTCAGGAAGTGATCATAGGGAATCTCCAGGTAAGGGAGACATGAATGACCCCTTTCGAAGATTGTTAACAGTAAACATATTTGATACTTTCCTGGATATACTGAGAATTAAAGAGAATCTGATCCAGATCAGCTAGATACTTGAACATATGGGAATTATGGTTAGATCTAATGGAATCCAGGAAAGATGGAGCAAAGGGGAATGCACTGTATTTCCTGTTAAAGGTGACATACATTTGTGCTTACTATCTGGTCATTTGAACTTTTGCAGGTCTGCAGCCTGCTGTACCCACACTAACCTTTAATTGCACACCTTTACGGCAGGTCAGATATCAAGCATCTCTGAAGCCTGAAGACAGCCATCACCTTTTAAAGGAGTGGTGCAGTCTTGCTATAGAAACCAAGGAAACCCTTTAAAGAAGTAACTGAAGGATCCTATCCCAGCTGACCCACTTACAGACAGAAACTCTCCTCTGTATCTCCGCTTCGCAACTCTCACAAATTCCCTCCATGCCTTTCCACTCTGCAAAAGGATTTTCATGTACTAACTGATCCTACACACTCTTCACTTCCTCACACCAGTCTCCCATTCAGATATGAATGGTATTCCATTGCATTATCTGTTGGGAGCTTAGAAGACCCAAATAGAGAACTCTTAAGCAGAAATTCTCCCCTCTTCCATCAGGGAGCTGACATCGTGTTATACCATGCAATCATTTTCTACAAGGTTTTCGATCATTTAAAAGCTCAGACGTGATCTGTAGCATGGATAAGTTCATCTTCAATGACTACATGGAGTGTGAGCGTACCCTCCACACCCCCACACCATTACTTGTAGAGATAGTTCCTCAATTTCTGGCTTCACTTAAGTCCCACACTCTAGATTTTCAGCTACTGGTGTGGGCGATGGAGTGGTAAAGCTGGTGGACCTAGTCACGAGTGCACACTCTTGAGACTGATACAAGCAGTTGAAGTGAATAATATAGCTATGTATAATAGAAAGCTATACAAGTTCACCATCACCTTGATAAGGGCAATTCGAGATAAAGAACAAATGCTGGCCTATCCATCAACACTCGAATCCATGAAAGAATAAACAAAAAATATGGGGGAAAGGACTAGGCTGTTAGAATGACAGATTTAGATGAAAAAGATGGGAGGATGTTTGAGTGAGCATGAATATCAGTGTGGACTGTTTGGGCCAGATGGCCGCCTTCTGTATCATATATCCTATATGTGTAAAATAGGTTCAAGCAATGCCCTATTAAGAGGACCATCTATTTTGAGCATATTTTTCTTCACAGATACATTCTTGCCTTGAGAGTGGTCATGTTATGCACACTGATATCCCAGAGAACAGGAGCGCAAACCAACAATAACACTGCTGTCTAATAGGGCTTTGTTTGCCTAGTTTTAATTTACTGACCCTAATAGGACATCTTTTGGTGGTGCTCCTTTTAAAATGGGGTGTGACGGTTTATTGCATTGATTGATCTAATGGGGTGACTAATATCATCAATCAAAGCACTAAGATTTTGTGATGCTGCCTTGGAGGACCTGGTGCAGGTAAAGGACAGAACAACCTTCTATCCCTCTCCAAATACAGCATAAACATGCACTTGAATTGAGGCCTGAGATGAACCCTGGGCTACTGTGAATTTCCCCTTTAGTAACATGCGTGAAAAACCAACTTGAATGCAAGCAAATAAAGAAGGCAATTCATTTATGGAGTCATACAGCATGTAAAGAGAGTAAAGAGACCCTTTGGTCCAACCAGTCCATGCCAACCATAATCCCAAACTAAACTAGTCCCACCTACCTGTTTCTGTCCCATATCCCTCCAAACCTCTCCTGTTCAAGAACTTATCTAAATGTCTTTTAAATGTTGTAATTGTACCCACATCCACAACTTCCTCAAAAGTTCATTTCACACACAAACCCCCTCTGTTTAAAAATATTGCCCCCATGTCTTTTTTAAATCTCTCTCCTTTCACCTTAAAAATGTGCCCCCTAGTCTTGAAATCCTCCATCCTAGGGAAAAGACGACTCTATCCATACCCATCATTATATTTGGTATATTCTAACATTTATTTATCTATAACTCCAGTTATAAAGTTAATTAATAGAAAGAGCTACTAATTAACATTTCAGCATTTTTAATTGGATTTCAACACCAAAATCTGATACTTAAAGACATGCATTTTTATGATACCTATTCACAGGATTTAAATATGCAGGAACATTTTTACATGCAGATCATAGTGTTCTGCTGTGTTCTAAATAAAAGACAGAACAAGTGATACATGAGGATGTCTTTCACTGAGTATGGAATTGATAGATGATGAGCTGGACTTTGCAGTGAGAATGATAAGGAAACTGTCCTTGTTCACTATCTAAGCATGTGGCAACATTTAGTTGAAATTCCAAAAACTGGTGTCAATGATTTGCTGCTTCTCCGCATGATGTATTGTTTAGTCCCTACAAATGAAACTCCTTAGAAATCACTGGAATTATAGCAACTTCCCCATTACACTATAATATCACTGTTAATGACCCTGGAAAAAGCATGCCCTTTTAATGAGCTATAATTGAGTTTTAATTCCATCCTAAGTCAAATAACCTCTAATGTCTGGACAACTAATTTCCTAAATATTTTTTCCAAGTTTTTCATGAGTTTCTAAGGTAATAAAAAAGTCTGAAGATTTTTGGTGATATTTTATCTTCTTCTATGTATATCTATTATTTTAACTCTGTAAAATTTCTAATAAGTGAAGGGTAATCAATGAATTAGGAATATGGTTGGCTTAATCAGCCAGGATTTCCCACTTGAATCAATGCTGTTTTGCTAATGTGGTGTATTTCTTAAATTCATTTTGAATCAAAGAAAAACCCTGTAAATCCTATCATATCTGAAACAACAATGGTCATGGATAACCAGATAACTATTTACAGGACAATGCTCCATTAACATCTCTATGTACAATTCTGATGAAGTCCAGTAAGGGGGAAGGGCTGAAGTCTGTTTCGGTCATAAGTGTTCAATGCATAACCCTTCTAAACTAATTTATACTGTACTACATTCAGGTTTTACTGAAGATGTTATACAGGATCCATTACTGATAAAACACAGCATGATAACTTGGGAAGAAGGATCCAGACCCGAAACGTCAGCTTTCCTGCTCCTCTGATGCTGCTTGGCCTGCTGTGTTCATCCAGCTTTACACCTTGTGATCTCATGATAACTTGGGAGTTCTTAATGAACTCAGAAGTTGATCCAAACCAAAATATACTCTCACCGTTACTCTCACAAAAAGAGGTAAGAACATTGTAGAAGCTGGAAGCACTGGCAGCAACTGGGGACAGTGCAGACAAGAAAGTAATGCGGATTTATTATTTGGCAAATGAAGGTTAATATTGTCGAATGAGGATTTTTTTTCCAGCATTTATTATTTTGGTCGGACTATATTGTGCAAACAGTTCATGAATGTGGAAATAAGTTTTTTTTTATCAGCTCTGAACCTGTTTGGGGCATCTTCCACGTGGATGGAGATCCCTTCTAGGCATTTCCGAGAGGTTGCTGGCAGACCAGGTAAATGCATACTCACTTCTTGCAGCTTCTCGTCCAGTACCACTTGGGGCGTCACTGACGTCAGGCTGGCGTTTTCGTTGCATCAGCTTGTGGATCAGTTAAAGTTTAAAGCTCAATTCAGTTGTAGCACTGCTTGGGGCTGCTGTTTAGTGCATGACTCAAAGCCACAATGATGAGCTTCACTTTAAGGAACCTTCTGGGGCGCTCGATTTCTCTGAGCAACAAGTGCTCTGTGCGCTCATTCCGGTGAGTTTATTTTAATCCAAGTATGAAAGGAGAAGGAGCGCAGGAACATGTAGGAATGGTGGAGTGGTGGGTCATGTCAGAACTCGCACCCTGTTCTTATTACAACGACTCCTAATTGTGTCTGTGCGGTGCTCTATTTAATAAGCAGAATTGTATCTAGCGTGTTCTAAGTCTGTGATTTTGTTTTAATATCGCAATGATTGTAACCGAATCTACTTCACGGGCATTGATAGGTACAGGAGTTTATACAGGCTGCAGGGTCTCAGTCAGTAACACCCCCGTCATGGGGACTTCTAAAAGGGAACATGGATGCCTCAGGCCAGCAGTGTCCAGTTACAAATCTCTCTCCTCGTTTCATTAAAATCGCCACAACTTTTAAATTAAACCGTAAAATACAGTTACACTCTCAGCAAAAGTTTAATAAAAGGACAATAGTCTGATTCCAAACCTTGAGAAAAATTTCATTTGCCCAAAACCGAAATAATGTTATGGTGCATCTTATCTGCAGCAAAAATCCCGAATGATCCTGAATTGTGACATTACCATTTTGTCAGGATCAGGGCAGTTTGAGGATGAAGTCGGTCGCCAGTGAAGTGCATGACGGATGGTAATAATGTGACAACGTGTTTTAGGGAAATTTTCTAAATCAACTTGCTCAGACTTGTTATATGACATATCTCTGGAACAGGTGGGACTTGAACCCTGGCCTCCTGGCTCTGAGTTAGAGACACTTCCTAGTCCACTTTGAGCCATTTCACACTGCTGCCTAAGATCAATTTCATCCTTTATTTTTTCAATCGGCCCACCTACCCCCACGGGGAACTGTGTGGCTGCAGATTGATTTAAATTTGTTCTGTTAGCACAACCAGCGAGAAACTGGTTTTAACGAAATAATGTATAATAAAATGTGCCAAAAAAGATCAAGGAATATTCATTTTTTCTGAAGAAGGGTCCAGACCCAAAACGTCAGCTTTCCTGCTCCTCTGATGCTGCTTGGCCTGCTGCGTTCATCCAGCTCTACACCTTGTTATCAAGGAATATTAAGACCAAGTTCCACTGTTTTCTGCATTATTTAATTATGGTTTATTAATAGTGGACTAGAAGTAGTTGCCCTGCCCAAAGTGGTTATGCCCTCAAATTGCAGTATCTTAATGAACATGGTGAGATCAAGAAGGTTCTTGGAAGTTGAGGGTAGAGTTGTCCGGTCCCTTAAATGATGTGGGCAATGACAAGAAATCCATGACTCTAAGTGTAGGAAAACATGGTAAAAATGGAAAAAAAAAAGTCAGAATATCAAAATCAAGGGGAAAAAAAATCGAATTTTCCCCTGAAGTTTTAAATGCTGAGTTCTGAATCTTGCTAATGAGCAGCTTTGACTTTATTTCCATGTAACTGAGGGGTGACCTCATAGAGGTTTATAAAATCATGAGGAGCATGGATAGGGTGAATAGCCAAGGTCTTTTCCCTGGCATCGGCGAGTCCAAAACTAGGGGACATAGGTTTAAAGTGAGAGGGGAAAGATTTAAAAGGGACCTAAGGGGCAACTCTTTCACGCACTGGATGGTGAGTGTATGGAATGAGCTGCCAGAGGAAGTGATGGAGGCTGGTACAATTACAACATTTAAAAGGCATCTGGATAGGTATATAAATAGGAAGGGTTTAGAGGGATATGGGCCAAATGCTGAAAATGGGACTAGATTTATGTAGGATATGTGGTCGGCATGGACGAGTTGGACCGAAGGGTCTGTTTCTGTGCTGTATATCTCTATGGCTGTATGACTCACCTCAATTCTATGCAGCATCCAATTGCTGTTCTTCTTCTCCGGGAAACCTGATGGCATAAATTGCTGAGACGAGAAACAAAGCAGTTCCCTAGCGGCTGCCACTCACCACTTGCCTCTCCAGGCCTTCATCCAATTTTGTCTTCACCACAAAATTCCTGTTTGCTCCATGGACACAGTCCTCACAAGTTAGCATTAGCAAACCATCAGCCTGACCACATCATCAAGACTGCTTTGGAGGCAGCACTAAACCACTTTAACATTTCAGCCCTTTACCATGAAGCTCAGGGATACCTATGGCTGGTGTGTTTCTGCCAGGTCACTTTGTACATTGGAAGAACAGGCATCTATACAGGATGCATCTTATGGCTCTTAGCTTCATCCCAAGCACTTACTGATTACATACTTCTTTGGAGGGTGCCAGCCTCTGTGGCTTGCATCACTCTTTAGCACATGGGAGAGGCAGCACCTTCTCATGGTTTGAAGGACTGAATAGTTAAGCGGTTGTATTTATTGCTGTTTGGCACTGGGCAGTATCAATGTTGCAGCTACAGCATGTGCTAGCAGTGAATGTGGCAAACAGACTGCATGCTTCAGCCAAAAGGCCATGTGCGAAAGTCCGAGGGGAGCAGTCCTTACTGGTATCACCTTTAGTCAAGGATGACGCCACAGTAGGCCAATGGACTCATCCAATCCCAGTCCATTGACTTGGCCACATTCAGCCAGCTGCTTGGTCCTAGCAGAGCTCGGGGATATGTGTCTTTGCAGTCTGGAATTTGGCCATGGCTCTGTCTTGCTGGACAAGTCTAGGGATTACAGGTACATCAGGTATGGTATTGCTTTGGACAAATCAGTCCTGCAATGAGACAAAGGGAGAGACTGAGTATTATAGCAGTCATTGGAAATGGTGGTGCAGAAGAGGTGTTCCTACTGGATGAGCAGGAAACACAGAGGGCAAGAAGGGTCCTCATTTGAGCGGATGAGGTGGGTAAGAGCTATTGAATGGTAATGATACAATAATGAGAGTTGCAGCTCATGAACATTGGTGAGATAAGTGTGTAGTTGACAGAGTTAGAGTGAGTGGTGGTCCTGAAAGAAGATGGTGCTACTTAGCCCGTCTGAAAGCAGAACATTATTCGCCTTCATCCTGCACTGCTGTACATTGAGGTTCATCCAGGACACAGCGCTGACCTGGGCCACTCTCCTGGCCCAGGCTGGCAGTGTCCAGTAGCACGGCCTCCTTGTGATAGTCAACAAGTCATAGCAACCGTCTTGTCAAACTTCCCATTTACCAGCACCTCCAGGTTTCTCTCAGAGAATCGAGGAGCTAACTTGTGTTCTAGGCCATTTCCTTAAGGACAATTGTGCAGAGTGTGAAGGGCATTTCTTAGCTTGTGGTGTCTGAAGTGCTGTGGAGCTAGGGTTCAAATATGGTACCAGTGATGTGTACATTGCAAAGTCCCAGCAGTGGAGGCAATGTTCCCTCTAAGGAGCTCATGCATACAGCCGGCGCAGTATTTTACGTGTGGCAGTTTTGGGAAGTCACTGCTGCCTTGGAGGCTCACACAGCTGGGAAGAAAATTAGAGGAAACACTGGTTGTGGGCACCTGTGCCTCTCCCTACTGCACAATTCTTTGAGATGTACATCAAAGAGGCAATTAACTAATCAATGAGACGAAGAGTGGAAGATAGGGTGAGAAAAGCTGCTATAGAACATGGGAGACCGGATGATCTGAATTTCAATTGTCAGAAAAAGAGAAAATTCAGCCTGAAGTTTCTAAGTATAAAGAAACTTATATGTTAGCATGCTATATAAGTTTGTAAATATTTGCGAAGATTTAGAAACATTCCATTGTTTACCAATGAAACAATTAAATTTAGTTTGGTTTCTTGAAGTCATTCACAGTTATTTAGAATCAGTTTACTTGTAGGTAGAGAGAGAGAGTTTATTAAAGATGCTTATTTTTGTAATCACATCCTAAACTGTATTAATAAAGTTTCAGAAGATAGTTCTCTTAAATCAATGATTATTCCCTAATGAAAAAACAATTCTATGCTATTACACTGTCCAATTTTGCTGCCTCATGGAAAATTTTGTACTTGATTATGCACATGGGTTTGGGTGCAAACTTAAACTACAATTTCACCATGGGAAAACAATGCATTTTGAATATCATTTGCACCCAAAGCAGAAACTCTATCTCCCTTCTAAAATTATTTTTCTTTGAGCCCAGTTTCTAATGGACATGAGCTGACGGCACAATGTTTGCTGAAATCATACTGAAGTCTACATAGTGCCTGGAGAATTATGTGGGAGTTGTGAGTTTTGGAGTCAGGGTGGGGGAAGATCCCAGTGATGCATTTGCTGGGGACAATTGGGCACTGGGGCTGAGTTGTGTTGGGGTACAACAGAGTCTTCACGTGATCCTGTGAGTTCTTCGTACTGTCACAAATGGAAAGAATTAAATTTTCACTTCATCTTGACATCAAAAATGTAACCTTCTTTACTAAGACTGACAGCCACATCTTAAAAATTTGCATTGTTCAATAACTGTGGTTTTATGCGGTAACACACACAACTTGACTTACCGTGAGACAACCCAAGCAAGTGCTCAGGGTGGAAGTGCCTCAAACTTCCCTGGTAGAACCATGGGCTGGATTCTTGGTTTGAGATGTTGTCATTCAAGGGAAATGCAAATGGCATGGGATTCCAACCACTACTTCACTAGATGTCTGTCTGAAGGCTGGACCTTGGTGATTATTCACCAAACCACAGCAAAATGCTATAATTCTTTACTACAGGTAAGGTATGGAGGCAGACCCCCAGTCAATCTCAGCCAGAAAGGACATCGAACCCCATGCTGTTGACACTAATCTGTTGTACATCTTTGTCTCTTGACAACCATGAGAGCTCCTTCTGGAGACAGGAATGAGTGGTTAATGGAGTGGGTGGGGGAATGGTCAAACAATAATCAATTTATTTTGATTTCCTGCAATATGTAAATTTATGCCCTGGTTGCAAATTTTTTTTAAAGGCAATTAAAATCAATAGGATTAGATTTTATGGAGGAATCAGGGGTGGGGGAGGGGAGACTCTATTAACAGGAGAGCTGGTGAGAGACCTGTTGCCTCATCCATAAGTGCCATGTTGGCATAATGCACCGCTTAAGCATTTGAGGCCACGACTGGGCCTTTCCAGGGATCCAGGACCATGAAGGTGCAAATCTCACCTCATGAGAGCTGCTGAGCAATCATAGGCTGACAGCTCTTTTTAAACGTGGTGACACCAGGGAGACCATGGCTGCTGCCAAAAGGACAGCAACCAAAGTCCCAAGGTCACAGAGGGACCTAAGTAATATCAGGACAGGTTTTGTAATGTGGGACGAAGGGTGTAGAGGGTCTGGCAGAAAGGACTTGGGGTAATTGTCCATGGGGACATCCCTTTCCTGAAGTTGTGTTCTTTGATCAGGTAGTGAATGCCTTTGAACATGAGTGCCCATAGACCCCTCTCCCTGAGAGACCACAAGCAAGCCAGACAGTTCTACCCGTTACACATACTTATCAAGAGGCCCATCCACTATTGACTTGATACCAGCGGTGGTGGAATGAGACCCATAAGTAAGCATTATTTGCTACTTAAAGGCCTCAACCGACAGCAAGGCTGAGAAGCCCAAACACTGGCTTTCCTGCTTCTGACTTAATTCTGGTGGAGGTGAAAAATCTGAACCCCTCTGCCACTATTGCACCTAATTTAATGGTCCTTCCTGTTACAAACCCAACATAAGAGAGGCATAAAATTTTACCCTATGTATGAGGAAAAGTAGCAGGTATCATGTGACTGACGGGTATAGCAAGAGGCTTGAAGTGTAGCTTAGACATTATCTAGTGATCATCAGCAGAAAATATTTTTAAATTCTCTGTAAATAGTTAGGATGGACCTTTTCGCTACTTTAGAAACCAGTCACATTGCATCTGAATATTGGTTAAAACATTTTCAATTTTTTTTTTAAGAGGTCAAGTATTCAAGGGAAAACTTATCATGCCTATAGTGCAATTACATTTTAAGACTTTATTAATCTTTAATCTAATCTTTAAACTGAGTTTGAAATTATCAATCAGTTTGGTAAATCATATAGCAGAAGTTTCATGTGCCTCTGATTTTACTATACCAAGCCAAGTAGATCATTGTTCTGATTCTGTTCTGTGGCAGTAGTAATAACTTTGTGACAATGTAGTTGGGGGACAAATTTGAGAAGGAAATGCCAGAAATACACTGATCCATTGGATTTTAATGACAGTGTGCAAAATTATGAAGGGCTCAGATAAAGTGGCTTAAAACCTCTCTTACCAGAGAGGTCAATAACCAGTGGACATAGATTTAAATTATTTTGTGGAAAGATTAGAGAGAGAGTGAAGAGAAAATCTTTGCGCTCAGAGGGTAGTGGAGGGGTGGGGCGGGGGTGGGTGGGTTCTGGAGCTCATTGCCTCAAACGGTCAGAAGCTTTCATCATGGTTGACAAATACTTAAATATTCACATGGTTAAAGACCAAGATCTGGAAAGTTGAATTAAACTTTATATCCTCCATGCCAGTTGAAAATGGGTCAAATAGCCCACTTCTGTGCCATCAGTCTTTCTTGTTCCAACCTGCCCATTTTTCCAGTCCAGGTCCAAGTCACTTGCGGTGTCTTAACAGCACTTTCTTGTGTCTATAATGAAAAAAACGTGTGTTTTTGTGTGACACTTTGAAACTACACTCTTCCCTACTAAAATTGAAGTAAGAAATGGATTTGTTTTATTACTTTTAACTTTGTGTTAAATTCATATTTTAATGTTGGTGGTTCTGATTGCAGATGTGGACAAGTTATGCTAAATGCTACATCTCTAAAAGGACGTCACCTGTTAACACTCAAGGATTTTAACGGTGAAGAAATAAAGCAACTATTGTGGACATCAGCTGATTTGAAATTAAGAATTAAAGAGAAAGGCGAGGTAAATGGGAAGATCGTAACATCAGTGATACTAGAAATTTCTTTGCACAGATTCACAGATGTCTTCTGTTCATTTTGAGAGATTTCCCTCCTCTTCCCAGTCCAGTCAGACTATAGTACAATGTTTAGCATCGCAGATGTTCTTCCACAATTAGTCAGGACTGAGTTGGGTTCTATTCTACGGAGAGAAAGCAGAATTAACGTTTTGAGTCCAGTGACCCTTCAGAACTGATTATAGCGGGGGAAAGACTGATGTATGCTAAAGGAGGGGTGGGGGAAAGGAGTAAACAATAGGTGGAGATGGAACCCAGAAGAGAGAGGAAAATAATTGGGCAGACAAAGGAATGGGTAAAGGTCAGCCTGGGAGAATGAATAGCTGCAAATGGGGACCACCAGTGGCTGATAATGAGTTGTCTGTGGTAGCAGCCCAAGTGATGAGAAGGTGTGAGGGTTGTGTAAGGATGTAGGAGAAGGTGCTCAAGCTTGGCCTGTCTCTGTGGGCTCCATCTCCACCTGTCGTCAACTACCGTGCTTTAGGAAAAGGTGCCCTCATGACTTTCTGCTGCTCACTCCAATATAACTCAACGCGGATGTCAAAACTCCAAAGTATTAGTTAAATCTGAATTGAAATAACTTTGATTTAATAGTATTTGGATCTTTTCTTCCAACTGTGGCCACCACTAGCACATGTGCCAGGTGGGTGCAGTGACAGACCTAGTTGCAGATAACTCCTGAATGATTGTAAAATTCATGTGAGATTCCTCTCTTCATTTCACACTCGCCCACCTTGGGAGTTTTAGTGGGCTCTTGAGTCCAGTAATTATTAATGCAATGTATTTGCAACATTTGATGTTACTGCTGTGGAGATCTTTTGCCTATAGTAAAGCTCCTTCCTAATCTTAGTTTGCTTCTGTTCTACTTTATGGATTACAACAGACACTCCCTTTACTTCAAGGGAAATCTATTGCCATGATATTTGAAAAAAGAAGCACTAGAACAAGAATTTCCACAGAAACAGGTAAGAGCTTTTTCTCCATAAAATAGAGGAATTTTGTGTAGATATTTTATATATACAACGGTGATTTTTTTTCTCAATTAAAGAGAAGTGGGATATTAGATTTTGTTACAAAAGACTACAGTATAAAAAGTAAAGAAGTTTAACTGCAGTGATACAGAGGCTATAACTGGAGTACTGTATGCAGTTTTGGTCTCCTTACTCAAGAAAAGGCATATCTTTGCTGGAGGGAGTACAACAAATGTTTACTAGACTGGATCCAGGATGAAGAAATTTTCCTGTGAGAAGACACTGAGTGGATTAGGATTAGATATGTCTGAGTTTGTTAGAAAAAGTGATGAACTAATTGAAAAATATAAATGTTTAATGGCCTTGACAGGGTGGATGCTGAGATAATATTACTCCTGATTGGAAAATTCAGACCACATGGCTGCAATCTCCTAAAAAAAGAGCAAGGTGATAAGAAATTTATTCCCTCAGAAGATTGTGAATCTTTTTGCAATTGTATGCCCTGGAGAGTGAGGAGCATTTTGTCACTGTGTATGTTCAAGAGAGAGTTTGATCAATTTTTGGGTATTAATGGGATTTGTGAATTTTGTGAGAAGGTGGAGTCAAGACAGAAGATTGACCATGATCTTGCTTGAAGGACCGAATGGCCTACTCCAGTTCCTTTTTCTTATTTCCTGAAGGGCCAGGGCACCACCAATAAATATAAAAAGTAAATCACTAAGTCCAATAACTCAAGTAAAATTAAAGGTTTTAACATAAATGAAATGGAAATTTGAACCTGAATAACAAGATTCTAAACAAGCTTGAAGATAAGAGTTACTTAATTTCAATTATTAATGGAGACAAAGTCACATTTGTGAACCATTTGATATGTTACAACGCAATGGCCACTGGATGATATCAGTAGATTTGAAACAAGCAAACATGGTGCCCTTTTTAAGAAGCATGTCAAACTCATGGAACTCATTGCCACAGAAGGCTGTGGTGGCCAAGTCACTGCGTGTATATAAGACAGAGATGGGTAGGTAGGTTCCTGATCAACGAAGGGATCATAGGTTATGGGAGAAGGCAGGAGAATGATGTTGAGAAACATATTGGCTATGATCAAATGGTGAAGCAGACTCAATGAGCCAAATGGCCTAATTCTGCTCCTGTATCCTATATCTATGGTCAAAATGACCCAGACACTGCAGATCTACTATCAGAAGTTCCAAACAAAAGGTATTATTTAATATTAAAATGCAGTGGACTCAATAAAACCTGGCAATGAATCAGAAATATATTTAACAATGGGAATGTATTTGGTCAAGTTACATCAACATTGACTAACACAGCTACTGAACCAAATGGAAGGATTGCTACTGTTTTTAGACGATATCAAACAAGACAGGACAATTAAATCTGAGGAGACATCTTCAAGATGACAAAGGAGTTGGGAAAACAATGCAAGTGGGAAAATTAGTGACCAGGAAGCATAATTACAAATGTGTGTAGTTTGCATCACCTGAAATTGCTTCAATAATGGTACATACCTACCTCCTTGCAAAGCCCCCAGTGTTAATTGTATTGTCATTTTGCTTTGTTATTCATTTAGCTCCACAAGAGATTTATCTGACAACTTGTAATTTGTTTACTACGTCAATTTAGAAATCTGAGAAAAGTAGAATCTGCACACATTTGTTGCACTAATCCTGATCTTGTTTTTATTTCAGACTCCTAAAGTCCTAACATACATAGATCCCAAATTAAAGAGTTTTAATCATCACATGAAGGCAGTTCTCAGAATGTAGTTATCTTGTTAGTGATTACTAACATTTTAAAAAGCAGCTCTGAAACCATCAGACAGAAACATTGCAACATTATTTATCTATTTCACAAAGGTAACTGACTCTCTGGACAAACAATTAAATCATTTACTTTCTTATCATTTAGTGAGTCAGCAAAAGAATGACAAACACTTACAGAAAAGTAAATGTAAAAATACCGAGGACTCAAAAATTGCACTCAAACTGTGTAGACTTAAAATTATTGACTTTTTAGATTAACTGAAGTAAAACTTTCTTAAAGTATTTCCACCATCATCCAAAATTCATGCATCTTGTCAGTGTTTGGATGTGCTATAACTCGAAATTTGAAGTCTGTGCAAAGGCATCAATGGAAAATTTAAAGGAAAAAGTCAGACTTCCAAGCGAAAAGAAAGAAAATTCATTCATAGAGAGTGCTTCATACCCTCTGAATGTCTTTACATTTGTTAAGCTGATTTTGGAGAATAGTCAATAGGTAAGAAACGAATAATCATAGGAGATTTTAACCTTCCAGTAAACTGAATGAGGCAAAAATGTGCAAATAGCTAAGGCAGAGATGCTGTTAGCACTTGGGTAGGCACGAAATGAGTAAGCACTAAGAAAGGAGGTGGTGGTAACACCCCTGAATGTCAATGGATGGTAGTTAAATCACCTATTATTGGAGATGGTCATTACCTGACATTTGTGAGGCATGAATGTGACTTGCAACTTGTCAGTCCATGTCTAGACATTGTCCAGATTTTATTGCATTTGAACATGGACTGCATCAGTATCACAAATGGTGCTGAACACTGTGCAATAATCAGCAAAAATCCCACTTCTGACCTTATATTCGAAGGAAGGTCTTTGATGAAGCAGCTGAAGAAGGTTGGGTGTTGGATTTAGGACACCACCCTGAAGAGCTCCCAGATGATGTCCCGGAGCTGAGATGACTGACCTCCACAACCCCCACCATCATCTGCGTGCCAGGTATGACTCTAACTAGGAGAAAGTTTGCCCCCGATACCCATTGATTTCAGTTTTGCTAGGGCTCTTTAATGCCACACGTGGTTGAATGCAGCCTTGATATCAAGGGCTGTCACTCTTACCTCACCCCTGGAATTCAGCTCTTTTGTCCATGTTTGAACCAAGGCTGTAACGAAGTCAGGAGCTGAGTGGTCATTGCAGAACCCAAACTGGGCATCACTGAGCACATTACTGCTGAGCAGATACTATTGATGACAGCTCCATCAGTGGATTGATGGGGCAGTAATTGGTTGGGTTAGGTTTGGCCTGGGCAATTTTCCACATTGTTGGATAGATTCCAGTGTTGTAACTGAACTGAAAGAGCTTGGATGGGGGAGCTGCAAGTTCTGGAGCATAAGTTTTCAATACTAATGTTGGAATGTTGCCAGGACCCATAACCCTTTGGAGTATCCAGTGCCTCCAACCGTTCCTTGATATCACGTGGAGTGAATCGAATTGGCTGAAGACTGGCATCTGTAATGCTGGGGACCACTGGAGGAGGCCGAGATGGATCATGCACTGGGTACTTCTGGCTGAAGATTACTTCAGACTTACCTTTTGCACTGATATGCTGGGCTCTTCCACCCATTGAGGATTGGGATATTTGTAGAGTCTCCTCCTCCAGTGAGTTGTGTAATTGTTCACCACCATCCATGACTGGATGTGGCAGGACTGCAGAGTCTCAATCTAATCTGTTGGTTTTAAGATTGCTTAGCTCTGCCTATCACTTGCTGCTTATGCATTTTGGCGTGCAAGTAGTCCTATTTGGTTGCTTTACCAAGTTGTCACCTCATCTTCAGGTATGTTTGATGCTGCTCCTGGCATGCCGTCCTGCACTCTTCATTGAACAGAGTTGATCCCTGGCTGAGGAGGGGTCATCGGACCTGAAATGTTAACTCTGATTTCTCTTCACAGCTGCTGCCAGAGCTGCTAAACGTTTCCAGCAACTTCTGTTTTTGTTTTTGTTTTTGATTCCCTGGCTTAATAGTAATGGTTGAGTGGTGGATACACCAGGCCGTGAGGTTACAGATTGTGCTGGAGTACAATTCTGCTGCTGTTGATGGCCCACAGTACCTCATGAATGTTTGAAGCCTGTCCCATGTAGAACAGAGATAGTGCCACAGAACATGACCGAGAGTATTTTCAATGTGAATGCAGGACTTCATTTCCACAAGGATGGTGTGGTGGTCTCTCCTACCAATACTGTCATGGTCAGATGCATCTGCAGCTGGCAGATTGGTGAGGATGAGGTCAAGTATGTTTCGCCCTCCTGTTGGTTCCGCGTGTTCTATTCAGTTATGTGTTATGTTGCATTTAGAATTCAGCTTATCTGATGGGAATGCACAACTGTTATGACAAACATATTTGAGGACAAGGAATCAGAGGTATACAACATGAAGACAGGCCCTTTGGCACAATTCGTCCATGCTTACCAGGTTTCCTAATATGAACTAATCCCATTTCCCAGAGTTTGACCCATACCCCTCTAAACCTTTACTAATCATGTGCCTGTTCAAATGTATTTTAAATGTTGTAATTGTATCCCCTGTACCACTTCCTCTGGCAACTCATTCACCTTAAACCTATGCCCTCTGGTTTTGAACTCCCGTACACTGGGGAAAAGACCTTGGCTATTCAGCTTATTTATTCCTCTGTTGATTTCATAAACTACTATAAGGTCACCCCTCAGCCTCCTACTCTCCGGGGAAAAAAGGTCCCAGCCTACTCAGCCTCTCCTTTATAACTCAACCCTTCCAGTGCTGGTAACATCCTTGTAAATCTTTTTTTACACCCTTTCTAGTTTAATAACATCCTTCCTATAGCAGGGCAACCAAAACTGTACATACTACTCCAAATGTGGCCTTGCCAATGTCTTGTACTGCTGGAAGATGACGTCCCAACTCCTGTACTCGATGATCTGAGCAATGAAAGCAATCATGCATCTGCAAGTTTATTTAATTCACAGAATTCATAACACTGATTTGTCGATAATACCACAATATAAATGGATTTTGAATAATGTTCTGGACGGTAAAGATACTCTGTTTTCTTGTAAGTTAATACACTGACATTGAACCCTGCACTGACACTGACAATAAATAGCTAATGCAGACACAAAACCTGTAACAGGAACTTTGTCGTGCAATAAATAATTTGTGAACAAATACTTTGTTGGCATCAAAA